GTTCCGCTCTTTATATATGTAAATAAATAGACGTAGCAGTAGTTTTGCTTTCACTTTCATCAACACATCTCATAATTTCTCGTTAATGTCGCTTTTTAGGTGCAATTCATACCTATCGCCACTCAGGGTCAGGCTGGCCAACAACCCACGCAAGTGCAGCTGATACCAGTCACAGGACCTGGACAAACTCAGCAGTTCCTTGTTATACAGCAACCTGCTATTGCTGGTAATGTTTAATTGTATTTATTTTCTTGTAGCTACAGAACTGTTTTGCTTTATTCACTTTACGCACTATATAACTCTTAGCTTCGTGATTTGTAACTCATGTAAATCTAATGTCATAAGCCATATTATATGTATGGTTGAGATCTTGAAGTGATGAAAGTCGCTTCAAATGATTGTATATTTAATTTTATATATTTAAAATTGGTCTGTGTTTATGAATTATGAATAGTGTACATTATGCTTGGTTTTTCTACCTCCTCTTCATCGTTGAAAGATGTTATTTCTGTAGTGATTTATTAATTCTCAGTAAGTTTTTGTCACCATCTTTTGTTATAAACATTTACAGCATGTTTTCAGGTCCATCTATCCCGATTCAGCCTGCTACCGCTATTCATCCAACTAATCAGTTCTATATTGTGCAGCAGCCTACAACAGGGCCCAATCAGGCACCACAGCAGGTTTGATGCTTTTATTCCTTACGTACATATCCGGAAATTGTGTTGATACCTAGTGTATGCCTAGTTTATACTACCACTGAAACATAATAGCTTAGTGTATTACCAAATTCATTTCCGTTAAAAAACTCGATTCTGTATCAGTAATACTATTTGAATGTGATTCTGTCCATTGCAGTTCTCCCACATAATTTTCATTTCTGCAGCTTTTTGTAATTTGCTAAAAAACATTTACTCTCTGGCGTTTGCATGAGTAAAACTCTGCATTGTTGCATTTCGAAATCTTGATGCCATTTTATTTTTCTTATCAGCCCAAATTTTCAGATTGCATTTATACCATTGCAAATGCATGCAGCTCCAGACACAAAACCGGTAATAACTGCTTTACCGGCACAACAGCAATCAAATGTGCAGCAAATTCGGAATGTTGATCCGCAGCCACCACCAGTAATGAATCCAAAGCAAGAAATTAATGATAATACTAATGGTGTCACTACTCAACAGAGGATAAAATTAGGTTATTTGTCAGGCTTACCGATTTGTTTTTCTTTGAGTGTACTTCTTTTCAGTTTTGTTGGCCGTAACTGCAGTTATTAAAAATCATGCCAGTCAAGTTGAAAATAAAGTGCTTCACTTCGTATAATTAGTGATCATTCGTTTTATGTTAGTGAAGATTTTTCACTTAACATATATTCAACATCCATCTAATTTCTGTTTCTCCTAGGAAATCTGCACTTCATTCAAGACCCTAATGATCCCCAGAAGTGGATAATCACTACAGCAACAGCAGATTCTATTGAAACACCTAATCAAGGATATCGTTATAATCGCCAAAATGATTTTGATGCTACAACGAGTGCTTCTACTGTTAGTCAACAATTAGGATACAAACAGCAGAAAACGCCCAAAAGAACAGCCTGCAACTGTCCTAATTGTCAGAATAGTGCGAACAATAAATTGTAAGACCTTATGAGTTCTGGACTATTACTATAGTTTATTAAATTCCATCTTTTAATATCAGGAAAAAATCTCTTTCAGGGTGAAAAGCGGGGAAAAGCAGCGTTTGCATGTCTGCCATTTATGTGAAAAAACATATGGTAAAACGTCACATCTACGAGCACATCTAAGGGGGCATGCGGGGCAGAAGCCATTTGCATGTGATTGGGCCCATTGTCAAAAAAGGTTCACTCGTTCTGATGAACTTCAGCGTCATCGTAGAACACACACTGGTTTGTCCACCATTTAAATCTTAGGGCTCTTGAACATGTAGTCAAAAACATTATATATACATTCAATATCACATGGTGGTTAATCTTTTCGCTTCATTGATTCTGTCGCTGGATCATATTCCAGCAGTATATATGTCACATTTTCGCATTTCAGGGGAAAAGCGCTTTGCCTGTAGTCATTGTGGCAAAAAATTTATGCGATCTGATCATCTGACGAAACATGAAAGGACTCATTCTACGGTCCGTGGACATAATTCAGAATTAAGTGCCCGAGCGCGTGCTGCTGTGGATGCGACAGTAAGAGCAGTAGCATCAGCAGAAGTAAATTCAACTCAAACAAATTTGATGAGTGCACAATCAGCTATCATTAATTCAAACTAGTAATGATATTATACTTATTACATTTTTTTTCCCATGTTACGACTTACTTAAAAATGCTGACTCAAGTTTGATCACTGTAAAATGTGTGAGCATATTTTATATGTAGTAACGCTTGATAAAACTAGTAGGGAATTTTTCCTTTGCTGTAAAAAATAATTTATTTGGCAAAGCTACTATTCTAGTGGGTTTTGAGCTTTTTCAGTGAAGCATGCAAGAATGTTCAGTTTAACTTTTTTTGAAATTGGTATTGTAACCAATCTGAATTTGTTGCAATGAGATTTAGTTTACAGCATATTTGGAAGACATATCTTTTCAATTAATCATTAGCGATTTTTTTTTTCAGCTAGATTTCAATGGAATGTAGCCAGTCAACTGAAATTTTTACAACTTTGGATTGATGTCATATTTTGAAAATCTCATGACTTGTAGGACGTTGACGTGATGATTTTCAAAAATTTTGTTCTACTTCTATGCTTTTATATTGTTTTAACTTCCCCGTAGTATCTATTCACTTTCCAAAGTTTCACGTTACAAATATGATTGTAATTATTATCATCTTTATCATTTGACAAATAACTTACGAAATGCTCATAGCCTAATTTTGTATGTTGTTTCGGAGGGATTTCGTAGAAAAAACTACAAACAAGAAGCCTGCAACAAGTTATATTCTCGGAGGATTTTAGCTCGAAATTGTTTGGTTTTTTTGAGGTACTATAAGGTGATATTTCTACGATTATTCAATTTCTGTATATGTCAGGACATAAAGTCTAAGACTTTTATTGTAATAATGCATAAGATTTTTTATCGAGGCAAAGGTGTGCACGTAAGTTATCGAGGATTTCGGAGATGTTGCAAAATTTGGTGAGTGTGATGAAGGCTTCAAATGCTCGAAGGTATGTATGTAAACGGTCCGAAAAGGCGATACTTGTAGTGTCAATTTGTTATGAAATATTTACGAGTGGGGACGGGCGTATGTGGCTATTCTAGGGGCGCTTAGTGGTGTGCGCATAATTATCTGTATCATACAAAATACTCATGTTCTGATTTTATATGTTGTTTCGTAGAAAAAACTGCAAACAGGACGTCTGCGACGAGTTGTATTCTCGAAGGATTTTAGCATGAGTCCAAGCAGACAGGATGACTTTAAAATTGTAGTTTAAGGCCACATAATATTTTCAAACAAGGTTGGATTTGTAGTGCTCCTTAACACGTTACTTAAACTTGTAGTATATCTAGATGAAGTGTGGGAACGAACTTGCAGCACAATGTGACTGAGCGGAAGTCAGCTATTTGCTCGTTACAACTCAAGTAAAACTGCACATTAGCTTAAGTCAGATTTTTATCAAACCTTGCAATCGAAACATATGGCAAGTGAAAGAATTAAAAACCGTAAAAGAGTTGGAAGGTAAGCGCGAATGCCTAGCTGCAAACGTGGCTTCGTTATGTTCTGTCTAAGCGTAGAGATCATATTTTCATTTTGTAGCTGAGTAAAGTTAAAGGACCGCGTTAAAAATGTGTGTTAAGAGGTTAAAGTAGGTCAGTAGTTGGACACAGTGTAAATTGTGTGATTCAGTCATGAGGAGACTATTGTGGTCACTAAATTAAGTGTTTTTACGGTAGTGTGGTGCTTTTTTAATCATTTTGAATGGTTTATCTACTTGTTGCTAGAAACCTTACATTTAGCAGTAGAGGATGGATAAAAAATCACGAAAAGATTCATTTACACTTTATCAGTTATGAATCCTTATTAATACATATCAATTTACTGTATATGTTTAGTTCTGAAGATTGTTTATTCCCTTCTTATTTTTTATTTTTGTCTATGCTCATATGGAGGACTTATATACTTCATTGTCAACATGGTTTCTTCAAGTATAGTTAATTGCATGCTTGGAATAATAACTAATTAATAATGCATAGTTATTTTTGCTTTTGAATGATCAGTTTAGAGTTGTTGCTGATAAGGTTGTGCAAAATGTTGCTATTTTACAATTCGATTGTTGTGTTTTTTTTAGGCGTTTTAAAAGTCGCTGGGAGTCATAAAAATGGGGAAAGCAACTAGTGTCAAAGACGTTGATCAGCATGAAATGGTTCGTCATATTGCTCATTTCTTAAAAAAAAGTGGTAAAGTTAAAGTACCTGATTGGTCTGATCTTGTGAAAATGGGAAGTTACAAGGAACTTGCACCTATTGATGTGGATTGGTATTATACCAGAACAGCCAGTATTGCTCGTCGTCTTTACATTCGCTCTCCAACAGGTTATTTTTTTTAAATCTTGGTTTCTTTTACAACAAGGTCTTTGTACTGGGATTTCGCATAAGTTTCGAGACAGTTTTATGATTTGATTTTGTACTTGTTTGGATATCTCTCTGAAATGGTTTCAGTCATTAAATGAGTATTTTTTTTTATTTTTAAAGATGGTTCTTAGGAGTTGGTGCATTACGACGAGTTTATGGTGGAAGTAAGAGACGAGGTGTAGCTCCCAATCATTTTTGCAAGGCCTCAGGGTCAGTTATTCGAAAGGCACTGCAAACATTGGAAGCTATCAAATGGGTTGAAAAACATCCAGATGGTAACGGAAGGATACTTTCTCGTCAAGTGAGTATTGCTCATGTTCTTTATCGAAAAATAATTTTCTCATCAGCATTGCATCTTTATAACTTGGACAAAAAAAGCACCAAATTTTCTTAAGAAGCTAGAATAATTAGATATCATCTTTCAGGGACGAAAAGATTTAGATCGAATTGCTGCACAGGTACGCCAAAATACGGCAGAATTGGAATAATTGTAGACAGAAATGATCAAAAAATTGTTTTGTGATACAGTCAAGTTAAATGTAATATTAAAGATTTGCAAAAAATGTTTTTTTCCTGGAAATGATAAGTATATATTCGAAATGAATTATTTAGATTTCTAATTAATTTGTGGTTTTTAATCTAGAATAATATTTCACTTCGTAATTTGTTGAATAAAATCCCTTCTATTCACCAAAATTGAGTGTTTTGTGTTTTGGGCAAAAGTTTAAGTTAAAAGCTACATAATTGTTATGAATCATTGTTGCTTTGTATATTTAAGTCGTTTTAATGTGCAGAAATTGTATGAAATATGAATTAAAATATTCATAAAAATGTGCAAGCAGCTCGGTTGTGGAGTAAGCGTTGATTCGTGCTGGGTTATGAGCTAGCTATGGGTAGTATAAGTTTAGTTAAATATGGTATCAGTTTGAAATTATGGTTTCTTTTCTCTCGTAAATTTTATCGAGCACTGGCAGTATGACTTGGGTTTAAAGTATCGTCTGTTCGGTTTCGTGCAATAATTTTCTGCACTGAAGTGTGTTGGATTTCTCTTTCAAATTCCTTTTAGTTACTTTTGAATGTGAGAATTAGCAATATGAGTAATTAAAAGGGATTATCCTGAAAATGGTTCTGTGAGTGAGTGGTTGCTGTCGCAAATATAGCAAACATCGAAATTTGAGTCAAGGATTCATGTTTAGGTCCATTTTAAAATTGATATCGAGTGGATAAATCGTGAGTATACAGTCCGCCATGTCATCGGGATCATCAGCTGGTCAATCATTTTCGTCGAAAAAGGTCAGTCTAAATTGAATAAGTGTTGTTCATGAATTCTTGACATATGACGTTCTATATTGCTTACAGCAGTATACAGTAAAAGTGCATTTGATTTCTGTTTTTTAAAACGTAGATTTCGTTTGCTTAGTTCATTCCTGCTTTCCAGATTGTAATTGGTGTTTGTACAATGAGAAGGAAAGCAACAAGCAAACCTATGCAAGAAATAATGACAAAAATACTTGAGTATTATGAAGTATGTATCCAGTACATATGTTACATACATACAAAATATTGTTTTAAATTTTGATGTATCTAATTAAGTGCTCTTTTGCAAACAAAGTTATAATAACGTTACAGTAATTTACTTACCGCAGTATACAGTAAGTGGTTAAGAGTGTCATGATGGTAATCTGAAATTATTAGACATTCAATTTTATTGTTATGATATAGAAGCATATCTATTCTGAATTTCGATGTTATAGAACTGGCTAGAATTCGTAGTATTTGATGAAGAAGTTATACTGAAAGAGCCAGTTGAAAGATGGCCTTTGTGTGATTGTCTTATAAGCTTCCATGCAACTGATTTCCCTTTACATAAAGCCATTGAATACGAACGTCTAAGACGTCCGTATGTTATCAATGATTTGCACAGACAATATGATCTGGTAGGCTTTCAAGCACCTAAGTTTTATTTTTTGTAGTGCAGTTTTGGATTTCTTTTAGTTTTCCATAACTTGTCGCATTTTTGTTTTCAACAATATGTTTTGCTACGCCAGATTTGTTTTTTTCATTACTTTCTTGTTCAGTCATATTTTAAAATGTATTTAAAAAAGTTCTTCCTCAGTTGGATCGGCGTAAAGTTTTCAAAGCATTAGCCAGCGCAGGCATTGAGCATCCTCGTCATGGTGTTTTGTTGCGTGATAATGACGGAAAAGTCGGTAAGTTAAGGTGTTTGTAAAGTTCTCGATACTTATTTGTTATTATTATGTGGTTCTTTCAGTATATTCTCTCCTGAAGTTTTTTCAGAAGGCACTTTAAAGGAATTTAGTGATCATATCGAAGTAAACGGAATGATATTCAACAAACCTTTCGTGGAGAAACCATTATCTGCCGAGGATCATAATGTATACATTTACTATCCCAGTTCTGTTGGTGGCGGTTCACAGCGTTTATTCAGAAAAGTAAGCAAACATTCCTGTAAACATTGTAAGCTTTTTATGCATATCCATTTTGCGTAAATTTCATTGATTAAATTCCTTACGTTCTACCAAGGACTGGGTAAGGAAAGAGAAGGGAAGATATTGTTATAAAATACATTTTTGATGAAGAATAAATCTTCCTTCTGGTTGACATAAACCTCCCCTAGTAAACAAATCTGTAGGAAATGATTTGATGAAAGTTATTTTGTGCTTGTTCAAAGCCTTACATTTTCATGCTCAGTCTGTAAGAAGAACTGAATTTTATCAAAGAATGGTGGGATATATTTTATTAGAATTGAGAACTCAAGTAAATTTTATTTACTCATAAAAGTCAGAAGATAGTTGTTTTGGGAGTTCAAAACGTCTAAAAAGTTTCTTGATAGTGAAAAATGATCGCTATAATACTGAACGTTATCATTCATATGTTACACACCATCATTAGTAAAACACAATTCTCTATAATTAGTGAATAAATTTTTTAAAAATTAAGTGAAGAAAAAGACATTTAGCTACTAAAGTTTCTAAGTTATACATCTATTTGGCAGTAATATTCTAATAAATTGTGTTGTATAATTTACATAAGAAATACAGATAAATAATCGAAGCAGTTGGTATTCTCCGGTGAGTACAGTGAGACGAGAAGGATCTTATATTTATGAAGATTTCATTCCTGCAGATGGTACTGATGTTAAGGTATTTCTTGTTCGAACTTTGATGCTATGTGATACGTTCAGCACTGTACTACAGCAGTATTTCTGTTCTAGGTTTATGCTGTAGGCTCATATTATGCCCACGCAGAAGCTAGGAAAGCACCAGGTTTAGATGGAAAAGTTGAGCGAGATTCACATGGGAAAGAAGTCCGCTATCCAGTTATTCTGAGCAGCAAAGAGAAACTAATCGCTAGAAAAGTGGTTATGACATTTGGAGTCAGTTTTATATAATGTTTAGAGCAACCTTTTCTGTAGTGCTTATATTATGTCTTTTTGTAGCAAACTGTTTGTGGATTCGATTTGTTGCGTGCTAATGGCAAGTCTTATGTTTGTGATGTCAATGGATTCTCGTTTGTAAAGACTTCAACAAAGTACTATGAAGATACGGCTAAAATTTTGGGCAATACTATTTTGAGGCGATTAGCGTCTTCTATGAGTATTCCATGGCAAGTTCCATTTCAAGATGGTGAGTTTTGTGCTTATATTTCACAAAATTGTTTTTTTTACTAGTTGCAATAGTTGTATGAATTATACTGCATAGTACTGCAGATTCTTTCTGTTCTAGGTTTATGCTGTAGGCTCATATTATGGTCACGCAGAAGCTAGGAAAGCACCGGTTTAGATGGAAAAATGAACAGAACTATAATTTTCTGAACATAATTGTAATTTTTTGAATTTCAGATGATCCCCCTTTGGTTTCAACTCCGAGTGGTAAAATAATGGAATTGCGGTGTGTCATTGCCATAATCAGGCATGGAGATCGAACTCCAAAACAAAAAATGAAAGTAATATTCAGTTTTTTGAAGTGAAAAAACTAGTTGACAGTTTCTGGCAAAAATTATGCCCCTGTCCTTATTTCCTCTTTAGACTAACAGTTGTAGACTTGATATAAATACCTGTATGACCATTAAGTAACTGAATTTTCACCTGCTTATTTGTTCTTTTTGTGCTATATTTTTCAAATGTCCAATGTTTGTTCATTGTTTGCATTTTTTTACTATTTGTATTAATTATTTATTATCATCCGTAATGTTCTATGTCAAAAAAGATGGGACTTTAAAATTATGGTAAAAATATTTTTAAACAGATTGTTGTGACAGATCAACGGTTTTTCGATTTGTTCAAAAAGTATAATGGATTCAGCGAAAACGAAATAAAAATGAAGCGACCAAATCAGCTTATGGAAGTATTGGAACTTGCTAGAGAAATTCTTCATGAACAAATGGTAAAAAAATCAGTTATGTTTAAGTATGATTCCACGCATCATTTTTTGATATCATGCATAAATAGTTTTATTTTGAAGATTCGTCGCCGTGAATTATTACAAAAACTGGAGACTCATGAAGATGGGGACAAATATTCTTTAAACATTGATAGGTGTTTAGAACAATCTGAAGAAGCAATTAAAAAATGGGAGCAAGTGCGGACAGTTCTCGAAATGTAATTTTATCAATTTGAAAATTTATAGTTGAAGATAACACTTTAGCTCAATCTACAAACCTTGCTCAGTAAATTGAGCTAAAATGTCACCTTAATTTGTCTGCACAAGTATATTTCTCTTTTAGAACAATTTGTCAAGAATTTTAATTTTTTAAGTGTTGTAGAAAAATTTATTAAAGGTATGGTCATTTCTCTGGTATCAATAGAAAAGTGCAGCTAAAATATTTAAAATCGCGAGAAATAAAAAGCTCAGAAGGTGAGGAAACGCATCAACAACCTGCGCTTTTGCTCATTTTAAAATGGGGTGGAGAACTAACTACTGCAGGTATTTACTTTTTATTATCCACATTTGCTATTTCAAAGAAAGCTAATAAAATCACAGATAAAAACAGCGTTTTGAAAAAAAAAAGCTTTTTTTTATTTGACAGGAAATTTACAAGCAGAAGCGCTTGGGAAACTGTTCAGAACTTTGTATCCAGGAATCAAAAGAACTGATGGCAAAAGTTGTCCCGAAGATACGCAAGGTTTTGAATTCTAATGACAGAACCATAATTTTAACCTTCATCATATTAGACTATTACTGTAACACCAAAATTTAGGTTTGGGATTCCTTCGTCTTCATAGCACCTACAGACACGACTTGAAAATTTATGCATCTGATGAAGGACGTGTTCAGATGACTGCGGCTGCTTTTGCCAAAGTAAAATTTTTGTGTCTGCTTTTCAATCACAGCATCGTTCCCGAATTGGTGATACGATTTGAATTGCATTTTTTGTCGAAAATTCTTACTTCTGGTATTCTAGGGTCTCTTGGCTCTTGAGGGTGAACTGACACCTATTTTAATGCAAATGGTTAAATCAGCAAATACGGACGGACTCTTGGATGATGATGTTAATGCACGAGATTTTCAGCATGAGCTAAAAAGTTATCTTCATTCAGCTCTACAAGTACATGTCTTTTTTAGAACAGTTTGTCAAGGATTATAATTTGTTAAATATTTTAATAAAATATAAAGAACCAACACTAAATTAATTTTTTTCTGTAGGTAAATCGTGATTGGACTAGTGAAGATTATGAAAATTTGAATCCATCGGGTATTCGTGCTATAACTAATGCAATGGAATTTATCAAGAATCCTCGCAAAATGTGTGAAGAAATTGCTGGTTATGTGCAGCGTATGGTTGAAATAATTCAGTGGCATAAGTGTAACAAATCAAGTATGTTTAAAAAAACTGAACTGAGTAAAGTTTCTCTATCCTATAACATCTTTACATCATGTCTTGAAGATCGTTCCCTTTACTTAAATGAATCTTGGGATTTGGCTGAACGACGCTGGGCTAAAGAATTACATGAGTTTCGCCGGGTTAACAAAAGTGGGGACGTAGAATTCGATATTTCTAAAATTCCTGATATCTATGACAACATCAAGTATGACATGGAGCATAATCCAGAATTGTGCATCAATAACGAAGGTGAATTCGAAAGAATGTATTTATGCGCAAAAAATATGGCTGATATCGTCGTTCCACAGGTTAGTTCTCTTATAATTTCGCAAGAATTTTCACTAGAAACTGACATAGTAATTCATTTTTTCAATATTAAATTATTTTACTATGGTTCACCATTTTTTATGAGAATGTAAATGAGAGAATTATTCAAAAATTTTCGTTGTTAAATTAAGGTACAAAATTTGTGATCAAGTATGCTTCTGATGAAATTAGTCGTAGTAAGCTTGCTAACCATAAAAGATGTCAAGTTCTCTGGAACTTCTTAACAGTTGATCTATAATGATTTAGTTTAACTGTAATAATTTTCTGCTACCGCTAATCTTCACAAAGTTTATCTATCTCTTTGATCTTTTAGTAATTGAAATGAAATGCATAATTTTTCACTTATTGGAAAACATTTTTTAGGAATATGGCATAAGTGAAAGTAGCAAAGTAATAATAGGACAGCATGTCTGTACTCCATTGCTGAAAAAAATTAGGAGTGACCTCTACCATTGTGTGGAAAATCCAACTGAAGATGACACACAAACTCGTCTTGATCCCCGGTACTTTTTTCTCTTTTCAATAATTCAATGAAGTAATTAATAAATATTTTCAAGCCTTTCAGAGCTTCTCAAGGAATAGCTACACCTTTCCGACATGTTCGCACTCGACTTTATTTTACGAGCGAATCGCATATACACACATTAATGAATTTAATAAAATATGGCGGCCTTTGCAGTGTTAGTTGCTTAATTCATTTTAGTTTTTTTTTGTGACTAGTTTCTGTGTGCCATAACAACTGTTTTTCTATAAAACACAACTTCTCGTGCGTAATGTACCCATTGAGCATAATGATAGCATGCTAAAGTTATGTTGTTTATCATGAAATTCAAAATTTGGTTGCACAGTATGGTAAAAATTGTCAAGTCAGTTCGTTAGCAATAATAACCACTACTTTCGTGCATATTAATAAAATTTGAAATATAAATTACTTCTACATGCTGCAACTTGCTGAACAGTTTGACTGCTCTATTCGTCTTTCAATTTTTAATTTTCGGCAATAACAGCTCCCGTTTTTTTCTTTACCCACTGCTGTATAGGTAGATGACAAAAAATGGCAACGAGCAGTCCACTTTTTGTCGTCAGTCACTGAATACAATTATATGACGCAAGTGGTTTTTATGGTTTATGAAGATAGTCGAGCAACAAGTACTAAGAAAGGCACCGACCGTTTCCATATCGAACTTTTGTTTTCACCTGGCCTTTATCCTTGCTTTTTAACAGAAAAGGAACGTATCTATGAGACTCGTTTCCCAAAGTCAGTTTCTTTCTAATAACTAACACCATTCCAATGTGTTCATGTTAACACTCTAAATTAAAATAGTACACTATTCTTGTAACTCATTCTCAAGTCTCTTAATGATGAAATTAATGCGGTTTGTAGTGACAAAACAAGAATTCAACTAGTCCACGTAATAGAATGTGAAATTTTCCATAGTTCTTTTAGAGATGAGTCATATAAATCTTTAGAAAAAAAAAAGCAAGTTCCTAACTACGGATTGGGGATACTTACTGAAGGTCTATTTAAGAGTTAATTAAAAATATATTTGATAGTATCACAATTTAGTTACTGTTTTTGTTTCAGCTCTAACAATAAGCAATTAGGAGGGCAATCAAATTCGAAATCGAAGCTTCCAAATCGGACTTGTGCTATTTCGACTGCTTCACTCTCATCAGTTGGGAAAATAAAGAATGAAAAGGCATGATTTGTCAGTTTAATTTCTTTTAAAATTAACATTTGTTTCCATCAACATAATCTGATATCTAACGTTAAAGAGGTGCTTTCTGCTAAGATCAACTCAATGTCTGCTGACTAAAATACTTATTGTAGAGTACAAATGATTTGGCATCATTTTCCGGAATGCTTGCTAGTAGTGGTGGAGATAGAAGTTGCTCTAGAAATAGTTCATGTAGCAGCATTAACAATCTTACTGTTGGTAAAACTTCTACTCAGGCTCTAGTTCTTACAAAAAAATGTCTGGATTTGAATGACTCAGAAGATGATTTAAATGATGAAAGCGTCAATTTGGTTGCGCTGGATGAAGTTGCGTCTGGTCAATACAGTGAGCTTCATTTCAGATCCATATTTTTTTTATGGACTTACGTTATCTGAAACCAGCTAATTAACACGAATTTATAATTTGATAAAACTTATGCTTCAAGAAGCTGACTTATTTAATATTATGTCTCATAACATCGAATAATCTCAACTGAACTTTTTAATACTTACTTTTATAGCAACCGATGAGTTAGCTCGACACAGTCCTGGAAGTTTACGTCGTGATCGGGGGCACATTGTAGCAAATAGTGAAGTAGTCGAAAATTCTGGAAGTTGTTCATCAATAAGTGACTTAGACACTGATGTACCTTTGCATAGTACTTCAGGGACAGAAAGTCAGTTGCATGTTTTGCTGAAATCTATCAATGATTTGCCCTTCAAGAAACTAAGTACGGAATTGAATTCTACTGTTACCGAATCGAAAGATTCCGTTGTTGCTGATGAAACTCATGATTCCAGAAATGAACTTAATTGTCCTTTCTCAAGTTGTAAGCAGCTTATTTCCTTGTATATATGTTTGCAACAAATCAAATATTTAAATGTAATGGTGTCGTCAAAGTTTGGTCTATTGGTTCCAAATCGCTATCTACCAATAAAGGTGAAAGTTCGGTCCCGCACTGACTAAAGATTGGGCAATGACTTTATCCCAACGCTTGAGCTGACCTTATCTAATATATAGTGATGTGGCAAGTATGTTAACATGAGCCCAAATAGACGGACGGGGGCATGTTACTTTTGAGTGGTTTCAGAGGATTTGAATATGAAAATTTTCAGCTCGTCGATCTCGCTTTCCTTATTGTTTCAAGCATCATACAGTCAGTTTTTTAACAGGTTTGTTTCGTTTTCATTTTTTCATTCATCAGTTTCAAAATTCAATAAACGTTCATAAATTGACTTCTTTCAGAATTGGACAATCGTTTAATCAGCACAGATGTGCTTTTTGGTAAATCAGGTGATACAGCTAGACAAAGATTATCTAATAGTACGTCTTTTGTTTTTAATGGAATTCACTTATTTTATCATCATTATTTAAAAAGAAGATCTTGGACTTGCAAATGTATCTATTATCCTTTTATGCTCATGCAAAACATTTTTCAAACTAAAATAAATATTTTCTATGATGGTAACTCTTTTATATTGTAACTTAGCAATTTTCTTAGCAGGTCCAGCAGTTTTGTCAACTGCTGTTATTGCGCGGTCATCTAGTGCCCCTCGTTTGCAAACATACAAAGCAGAGGATGAAATTTCTGTCGGCGGTAAGTTTTTTTTCATATTCTTTGCATATTTTACGGTTTTTTCCATACAAACTTTTATTGTCTTCAGAAATTAGGCGATTTTGGCCACCACTTCGTTCGTTAGAAACACTTCACGACAACATATTTTTTAGTCAGTTGGATCGTTTTCTTGAACGGTTGATGAAAATTCGTACACCATTACCATCTCCACCTAAAACACCCATTTCTTCTAATCGAAGTAAACTTTTTTGCTGCCGCTGAACAATTTTACCTTGAGTGTGTTGTGAATTTTTAATGAACGATTTAATGAATTTTTAATGAAATTTTATTTTTATCATCTACAATAACTTTTTTTACTGCTGTTTTTAGTTACACATATTAGATATTAGAAATGGACTTTTATGAATACTAGCAAATTTGTTGTGTTATTGTGCATATGATTAGTTTTGATATGAGCTTCGAGAACAGTCATAATTTCAATCTATTGTAGAAACGTCGGTGGTTGCAGCCGAGCTCTCTGATACGGCAAAAAAATTAGAACGAATTGGCCACTAAAACTCAACTTCATTAAATAGGGAATTTATTTGAAAAATATTTATTTATTTTTTGTGTTCTCTCGATCTCATCGTTCTTATTTGTTTTATGAAGCTAATGAAACTCACTTAGCTTTTCGAATCGGCAAACTGACTTTTTTGTCAACTTTCTAGTTTTCAAAGTGCTTAAAATTTATTTTTTATGAAGGTTTCCTGGGGTTTTTATAAGTGAGAATCTCTCCTGAGTGTGTGCCAAAAATGATAAGTGTCTACAAATTGTGTTGTTTATTTTAGGAAAAATTATCTTTAACTATTTCATATTATCTATTTTGGAATAATTTGATTTTATATCGAACTCATTTCGAGCATCTGTCCCAATTTAAGCATTGCTTTTTCCACTATCGCTCAAAAAAGTTGAACTTTCCTCATTGTTTTGAATAGTCATTTTTAGAATTCGTGCTTTCGTATTCTTGTGCAAAATTACTCTTTCATTATGGATTACCTCTGTGTTGTTAGATAAATATCAGGATTATTTCGATTTGACTGATACTTATATAAGTTTGTGAATGTGAAAAAATTTTGAGAATCGGTCTTTGAAATGAAAATGTGAATGTAAACATATTGTAAAAGAGAGAGTTAGGATTCTGTTCATGTTAGAAAAAAGCGGATAGCAACAATTTTCTGTTGAGGTAGCGTTGCACATTATATTTCACCATTATCTAGAATAAATCAAGAATTCTTAAGGCAGTTTGTAACATACTTTGATCATATTTTATTAGGAAGATTTCAACGCCATCACTTGCTTCATAAAATTATTTAGAGACAGGAAAAGTCTGACCGGTAGAATTTTCATATCTGCGAGCACAACTGCCGTGTAACTCGACTTGGTTCGTAGCACAAGCTTGATGATCTTCCAAACATTTAATGAATCTGAACGAAACAAGAAGGAAAGTAAGAGATCATTTGTAGAAAATTTTTTTATCAGTTGGAAAATACTGCTCAGTAAAGATGTTACTTTGTAAATTTCTAAAAAATGCTGTACTTATTACCTTTTGCTAACACTCATCAAACACATAAATACGGCAGCTATGATATGCATTGTGATTGCCAGTAAATAAATCCAAAATGGTCCTAACAAATCACTAAATTTTTTCACAAAGACAAGTTTGGCAGGTAATTTAGCTGTGAATTCCATTTTATTACCTGAAATATTACGTCATTATTGTAGTTAATATTCTTGGTGGATGCAAATTTTGCGCTTAAGGAAAGTTAATTGTTCAATGAAGTCCTTACCTGTAGAGAATTTTAAAATTAATAATACTTATTCTGCGTATTATTTGGATAATTTTGTCCCTCTTCTGATAATTAATGATAAGTAAATGCACTGCACTGAGCATTATTTGCTAGTGGCATTTAATCAATTTAATAACATTTACTTATAATTCAATTAATTTATTAAACACTTTATTCATAAGAAATGGACGTTTCGCTGAAATTCTAAATTTGGATGTAACTGGTTGAATTCATTATTCAGTGAAGCATTTACTTTTAATTATCGCAACGGGTGGACACGTATTCTGAACAATATTATGCATAAATATTGTTGAATTATATGACTTTTATAAATATTAAAACATGATAAAAATTTTTATTTTTACTCTTTTTAATGAGGAAATAGTGAATTAATCGTGTTTATTTTTCTTTAAAATTGTTTTTAAGCAAAAATGTTAAGTGAAAATGGAATTATTAATATATTATTGTCATTTGTATTATTTAATTACATCGAAATGATACCTTCCAATCTTGCGCTTATGTGTATTTCTTAAAAGTATGCATTAAAGATTTCTCTTTCGAAGTAATAAGCAGACGAACTAAATGACTAACCGAATGCCATCAGTAATATAATACACATAGCAGAGCAGTCTGATAAACTGATAAGGAAAAACAACGTTATTACATGGTAGTGAATAAGTGATTGTTTTTTCCACAGGCAGCCCAAAACCTGGTACCAGAATTGATTTAGAATACAGATAATAAGTAAGCATTATTCATGATTAAGCTTTACAATGATTGCATGTATACATGTGCTACTGAAGTTTATTTGAGAAAATTAATGAAACTACTTCAAAAAGTAATGTTTTAACAGAACTGGACAGAAAAACTATTACGCATAATGTCGTTGTATTTCTTCTATTTTCATGTATTTATTGTATTAAATAAAATAGTTTAAATTTGTACATTAATAAAGACAAAAATTACAATACAAGCAAAGATAATAATAATAATAAATAACTGAGATAAACAGTGGCAGAAGTGTGCTAAAATGTGTACAGAAATAGTGTTGATGGAACAAGTTGTAGAAGAATTAACTTACCGCGCAGCAAACACTAGCTAGACTAAACACAACACAAGAAATAATAATCGGACGAATGAGTCGTACGGCGCGGATAAAACCATTGAAGTCAAGCCATAAGTACGTGAATAAAACTAGCAAAGAGAATGCAACCTCAACAATTGCCGTCAATTATTGCTCTATTTTGGACTATTTTCATGTCATATAAAGCATTAAACATCAGTCTTGTAAAATCTTAAATTGTTATTAGATTAATTGAATTAAAATTCCGTCAAAATTAAAGAATCATTTAAAACTGAATTTAAAAAAAGAAGAAGAAGTGCACTTAATATTGAAGAATGCGTGAGATTCTAGACGTAATTGCTTTGCAATTATTAAGTGAAATTTCGTACTTTACTGACATTTTATTTGTGCAACCTTTGTCAATTAATAAAACTAATAGATGAATAGCTTGAAAAATTCAGTGTGAATAAAATACTTTTGCAGAGAAAATAATTTCTGTACGAATGAGAGAGAGAAAGAAAAGTTTACCTGAAAAGCAAACGCAAAAAAGACGACTTTTTTTAGCTGCGCAAGTTGACAGTTAGACTTTGAGTACTGCGTGCCACTCCCTTCTTCCGATGCTATTATTATGCGATTCTTTCGAGGCAAATCACTCACTTTGCTGAATTGCACAAATTTTGACTTTTCTAATTTGCATTCAGTAAATACTTTTTCTTACTTTGAACTCATTTTAACGAATACAGATCTTAAACAAATTATTACTATACTTGAAGAATGTGCTAAATTTTACTTCATAATTATTACAATAATAATATTAATAACAGTAATAATATTAATAACAATAATAATAATAATAATAAAATAATAATAATAAACGTTTACTTTTTCATATTTTTTCTGCACCAACATTGATCATATTAATACAACAACACAATTACCATCGTTATTTTACAACCAACTTGCTTTGAGTTTCTGAAAAATAATCAAAGTTGCTATTTTATTGCTAAAAATTAAAGTATGGAAAAAGATTCGTAAATTTCATATTATTCAACAATTAATATAACATTTTTTGGTCAATTATTAAGATTAGTTAACTAATTATAAATAAGTCAGTTGAATGATCATTATTACTTTTAGCATACGTACAAAAAGCGCATTCATTTACTAATTAAGCTAACTTTGTATTTTGTAAATTAATTTTTTAATCAATTATTAAAAGTATATTTTTGGTAATAATAAGAATGATGTATACTGCTGATAATATCATTCGAAATGAAAGTACTTCGCGCACTTTATTTGCCAAACATCCATCCATCTATCTATCTATCTATCTATCTATCTATCTCATTTGCATATTAATAACTTTTCAAATAAATACTTGTTTACAATATACGCAAGTAAGAAATTGAAAAAATAATTATTTTTCAAATAAAATATTATACACAAACTATTATTACAATACAACACAATTTTA